TCAGGGCAGGATCACCACGGCATTCTGCATCATCTGGATTCCCCCTACGATCTCAAGTGTGCTGGGCACATAATAAATTTTCAGTAATAACCCAATGAGTGACTCATAAACTGGGCTTCTTTTTATAGGCTATTCCTAAAGCTAAATATTTGTAAAAATCTGATAGATGCTCTGCAGAATGAAAGTGCCAGGGACAAGGGAAGGATCAATGTCATCAACTCCCCGAACAAAGTCAAATTGGACTAGGGCTGAGTTGAATTATGCCAGGAAAATGTGTTCTCTAGACCAAAGGGTAGGGCACTGAATGAAAAATTAGCCCCTCAGAGAGCTGACAGAGGGTTTCTGGATGGGAACAGAGCATACCAGGCCAGACTGGGCTGAGCCATCAACTGGGGCCATGGTGTTGTTTAGTCCTTGGGATCCCAATGTCATCATGACAATCATCAATTTTTTTAGTGCCTGGACAGGCGAATGGAAATGTTTTGATGCACTGGAGGAACTCAGGGCCAGCATTTGGCCAGGCCTGACTTATATATTACAAGTTTTGGCTGCTTTCTTATGAGAGAAACAAAACATCTCCCCAGTTTCACTATGCTCTTTGCTCTCTCTTGATTGCTGTGGAAATGCTGTGGGGAGCTGGTGGTGGTGCAGGAGCACCCTCAAGTTTCAATAAGCTCCCTTTCCTCCACACAAAGGAACAGATACCACCATAAACCACAATGAGAGGGATCTACACATGCTGCTTGGGAAACCTGCCTATGACCTATTATTGAATGAAAAAAGCAAGTTGTATGAGTAGCATGGCCATTCATCCGTATCTACCTACTTGGTTTTACATATCCGTAGAGAAGCCTAGAAGCAAATTCTCCAAACTTAATAGAATTAATGGCTACATGCAGCAATTTAGAGGAGGTAGTAGCTTCTACTTTGTATTCTCCTCTATCATTTGATTGTTTTAAAAACAAATACGCATTACTTGAACAATAATTTTTTACTTGAGGATCTCTACTTCCAGTTTCCCTGACAACAGTCACTGAACATATGCAATAAGAAGCTTGGGAGAATTCAGTCAGTTCAACTTTTAATGAACATCAACTCTGGATACAAGCCAGGGCTACCCCAGAGAGATGAGCTGACAGACACTTGTGTACATAGATCACTATAATAGGAGCCTGGAGCAAGGGCTGGATGGATGGTATGATGCACGGCACTGTCATTTTAGACACATTACAACCCTTCTCATTAAATCTTTGGGGTTGACTCATTCAGTCATCACTCAAGCACCTGTGATGTGCCAGGAACTGCATTAGGTGCCCGATTCACATTAATGAAGAAAACAGACATGGTACCTGCTGCATGGTATCTTGCAAAGAAGAGGTCTGCAGAAATTCGACAACTTTCTTCAGGTGACTCAGCTAATAATGGAAGAGGAGCAATTAATTTTGACCCTGGTGTCCTGAAATATCTTCCTGAGAAAAGTGACATTTGAGCCTCACCTTGAAGAATGAGTTAGATTTGGACAGATAGACAAGAGGGCATACCAATCCCAGGGACCCCATGGACAGGTACAGAAATGGAAACACACAAAGCAGATTATGGGCAGAGTGTGGCTCCCAGAGCAACCTGAAGGTAGAGTTAGAAAGGGAAGTGGACTGGGGTCAGACTGTGCAGGGCATGAATGCCATAGCTTTATCCTGAAGGCCACAGGAAGCTAATAATGTTGTGGCAATTTCCCTCATAAGAGTGACATTATCAGACATGCCTCTAGAAACTGAGGTTGAACAGTGTGGTCTAGAGGCTCTAGAGCCAATCTATCTGGGCTTGAATCCCAGCCTTGCCACTCACAAGCTCTAGGACTTTGGGCAAAAGGCTTAACTTCCCTGCTTCTTGGTTTCTCCATCCGTACAATGGAGCTATACTAATAGTGATTGTAAGAAGTCAATGTGCTCATATAGGAAAAGCTCAGAGGAGGTTGGGTGCATAACAACAATGAATAAACGTCATTATTACTCTTGTTTCTCTGGACAGAGTAGGAAGAGATGGTAGAGAGAAGCCTGCTGTAATTGTCTATGTGAGACATGAAGTCTTGAATGAAAGCCATGAGGATAGAGAAAATGAAAGTACAGAAGCAAAGTGGGAGGGTGGAATGGGCAAGAACAGGTGACCAGCTAGCTAAATGAGAGAGTAGGGGAGGAGCCCAAGGTAACTGGGATCCCTAGCGGAGATGACTGAGTAGATGGTGCAGAAGCAGAACTGAAAATATGGAAGGGAAGGCACCAAGGTTCAGGTGATCGGAAAACCAGGCATAGATGCCTGTCAGGTACAATCAAGGACTTCATTAGATGGCCAGACATTTCCATTTTATACTCAGCATTCCTGGACCACAAGTTCTGTGGGTTTACAATGTACCTGAGGAAAACCAAGAGCAGGCCCCCAGCACCAGTGCAGAACTGACACAGCTTCTGTCTGTTGGCCCCTTTTCCACCATGCTGCCAACCAGTTGAGTGTTAATAAACAAAGTCTAGCAGGTAAAAATTAAGTATACATCTCACAGACCAGAGCCACTAATACAGGCTGTCGGTATATGCCTTTGGCTGAAAAAAAAAAGTCATATTTCCAAAAAGAGCCTCAGTGATGTTTTTTCAATTAGCCATCAGCTTACCAATTCTCTTTAGAATGATTAAATAAACAAACACAAGCAAATAAACAGAAAAACCAACTAAAGTCAAAGGCAACAATTCAGTGCAGAGAGAGAGTGGAGGCTTCAGAAATGAGCAGGACTGGCTTCTACTGCAGAGCCAAGTGCACACTTCTCTTGAGTCTGTTTCCTCATTTGACATGCAGGGGTAATAATGTCCCATAATACCTACCTCTGGGGTTCTTAAGATGAAATACTATTCCAAAGCCAACTCAATAAAACTTAGATCCTGCCTTCCTTGCATATTCAGAGAGGCAAAACCCATCAGGACACAAAGTTAGGCACTGTTAATTTCTAACAATAAGACTACACTTAATATTACCATACTCCAAAGCACCTAACGATGCAGTCTATGATCCTTATATTATCTGTATACACATGATGAGTCTCCAAAAACTTGAGGAGAGTCACTCGTTGATGGAACTCCACATCAGATACAGAGGGCTTCCCAGGTTCCCATAAACTCCAGGTTCAATTTAAAATCAGCTATGTATCTCCCAATATTCCAAAAAGAGGAACTTTGAGGATGACAGACTCACCAAGAGAGGGAGTCCTGGCTCAGCTGGAATGGTCTTAGATGTCTGCCTGCCAGGAACAGGCAGATAAAAAGAAGCACATCAAAGACACACTGTCATGCTTGATAAACACACTGTGGTGCTTGATAAAAAGGCAACAGAAACAGTAAACCATAACAACATTCTTCAATGACAGAAAGCTTATTTTGACAACACAGAACTTTAAGAAAGGAATTTCATCGCTTCTGATTTATTTTCCATTTGTGACCTAACTCCTTATCACGATGAATCTGGGCAACTTAAAAGGCATTGCTATCTCTTGGTTCCTGAGGCCCCAGCCCAGATGTCAGAATGGAAGCCAGTGTTCCTTCAGGGCACAGATGTGTACCACTTGGAATGACTGCACAGAACTGCTGGGACTGGGGACTTCTCTCCTGGGATGTACAAGGGGCCAAGAGAAAGGTCAGCGCTTAGGCCAGGCACGGTGGCTCATGCCTGTAATCCTATCACTTTGTGAGGCCAAGGTGGGTGGATCACCTGAGGTCAGGAGTTCAAGAGAAAGGTCAGAGCTCAGGGGGTGCCTAGCATGATGTATATGTGTGGGATCAGCATGGGGAGGTGACAACCTGGAAGGGTCATCCAAACCTTAAACACAAATGTAGTCCTCCAGCTGTCTTCCCCAAGTCATCCTGACAGGTGGAGACTGTGGAGCTATAAGGGTTCATTTTACAGGAATTGGGTCATATTTGCACGCAGACACAGATGGCACTCCCTGCAGAGGACTCCTCAGGGTGGAAGCAGGAAAGACAAGAAGCCAGCCAGACAGGAGCATGAGCTCTCCTGCTTCCCAGCACCCACCCACCTCTCACATGCCAGTGCCTGGGCTCTGCATCAGGTAGACCTGCCATCTTTTGCACATTATTTGCCCAAGGTTGTCTGAGTTTCAGTCTCCTGGGGTTTAAAGTGGGGATGATGACGAGGTTGTGATTAAAGAAGATAATGCATATAAATCACACCAATGATTATTGGGGGGCTAGACATGCATCCTTCACACTCTTCCAGAGCTCACATCTAGGAAGCTTTTCCTATGCTAGGATTGGGGGTGGGTGAGAAGGAGAGAGGCTTCTGCTGAAAGGGCATCACCAGAGAATAAACAGCAGGCACCATCCTCTCTTAAAGACAGTGACCTCAGGGGAGGGGCCTTCACATAGAGATTCCCATGAGTCTTACTCTGTTCTGCATTAGTCCCCAAGGTTCCTGGCTTGGATTTCACCCATTTACCATGTGACTCCTTTCCACCAAAGCCCCACTTTTTTCTCCTGTGCCCCAAGATGCTAACAAAACAGCTTCTACCTCCCATTTCCATCCTTAGATTCAGAGGCATGGCTGACTCAGGCTGCCTGAGTGAATTCCTGAGACAGTCAGTTTACAGTAATCATTTGCAGGCTCTTAATTTAGGAACCCCCAAAAGTGGACACTCACATGTATGTGTTCACTCACATGTGATCAAAGTGGACACCAGGGCCCACAGTCTCCCTGCGTTTTCTTTCTCCTTATTTGCCTGGAGGAGTCGGGAGTGGGCGGGCTGCAAGCTGTGGTGGTCTGGATGATTCATTTCCTCCTCAGAGTCAAGAGCTGTGTGTTGGTGTCAGTCAGCGTGAGGCCCAAAAGAGGGGAGCTGAGGGCCTCTGAAGCAAAACAGTAAGTGGAGTAAAATGAAATGAAACATTTATTGAGCACCGGTTCATAAGTTCTTTAAGGAAGAAAAGAGCAAGCGAGAGGGAAGAGCCATTTTATCCATTTATTATGTACAATATTAAGGCACAAGTTTAAGCAGCAAAGAAGAGAAAAATCTTTGGCTGACCAACAGCATCAGTATTTGCTGTGGGGGACTGGCAGTGTTCTTGGACTCCCCACACTGGTACACAGACCCATCTGGCTGTACAGCCATGTACACCACCCCTCAACACAGAATGGCAATACAAAGATACCAGACATTACAGCCAGATACCAGAATCTGCTGGGAAGAGCCTGGCATGAGCACAGCACACTGCCACCAAGCACAGCGATGTACACACACAGAGCAGGTGGGAGGGCAGTGGCAGCAGGAGGGCTGAAATCAGGCGCCCATGCTTGCCCTTGGTGCACAGAATTTTACACAATTTCGTAAGTGCTCATGGAGGAGAAGGCTCCCTGTTCCTCCTCAAAAGGAAAAAAAAAACACCTTGATTCAATTAAAGCCAATGTGGATATATTTGCTTACATTTTGTTTTGTAATAAATACTTACAGGTGTCTCTATGTGAACAGACTCCTAGGCACAATCACATGTAAACACAATACTGGGCATCCAGGCTTTGGGAGCTGATACAAGAAAATGCTGCATATGTACTTCAATATAGAGAGAGCAGTATTCTAATTCTGTGAAGAAGCAAAGTTTCATGACAAACACTCCTGTCACATCATAACATGACAATAACATGCACTAAAGTAAACATGGTTTTACAGAATACCTACCAGACGTTTATATTAATGAATATGCACTTATGTGTGTAGTGTATGCAGAGATGTGAACACATAGGAGGCATGGAAAGACAATCAGTTTTCAAACATCTGTGTGCTAATGAGGACAGTCCTCCCCTGAAGTGGACAATTTGAGAGGCTCTGAGTCCAGAGACTCATTCCAAGCAATTTCTTAGGGATTTTTTAAGAAACAAAAATGGTCGGACTTACCTTAATTGCCATCTTTATTCGTCCGACTGTGCTATAAAGTACTTGAGATTATTTCCAGAACTGAAATCCATCCTCAAAGGAGGAAGATTTCTCATCTCTAAGGGGAAACCAAAGGAACATGCCAAGCCCTGAAGGCCATTCTAATAGAGGAGTTCCCAAGATATTTTTGACTTGGCAACACTAGAGCCAATCCACACATAGTCTCCCAAAAGACACTGTTTACGGAGGGTGGGGTGAGATGAAACACTTTGATCTTCTGTATGTTAAGAGAAGAAATTCCCACAAACAACCCTAGAGTCATACCTCATATGTATACACTCACTTATACACATGTCTTTAAATACCATTAAATTACTAAGTGAGAAAAGGGTATATTACTTAAAAGAAAGAAAAATTGCTTGTTTGTTCCAGGAGAAATTCACTTACTGAAATGCTAACTTTTGCATTCCCTTAGCTGACCAACTTCTGGCAACTTCTTAATTACTTTGCCCATCTCCCATGGAGCCACATGTCAGAGGCAAACCCATTAAACAATCGTCACATCTAATGAAGACATTTTAAACACTTTAATTACTTAAACAACAACAAAAAAGAAACGAATCATTTATAAAGCATGTACCATGGCTGCCTCAGGTTTTAGGATGTGGAGAAGTTAATGGTAGGCTGGATACTCTGTGACTATTTAAAGCCTTATTCATTTAAGAACATTTGTGAGATCTCACTGACTATGGCCATGGGACTCCTTTGCTTAAGAGGAGTGCAAGATCATTCAGAGAACACAGAGAAGCATGTCCACTTAACTCCAGTGTGGACATGGGGCAATACTCTGGTTTTGAAAAACACATCTATTTGCTCAGCAAAACTCCCTGCAGTCTAAGCGTGAGCCCCCTGCCTCAAAAGCTTTTAATGCCCCAATCTATTATCCACTGCTTTCCAGGTCCACAGCCCCACCTGAAGTCTGTTTCCCTAAGTCTCTGGGACTCAGGCTGGTGGGGAGCATTTCCCACTCTATCAGCATCTGGCATGAAGGTGCTACAGCCACTGCCACATGAGGATGCACACCCAGGTGAGAACAAACAGGAGTAATGACTGGCTGCTCTGCACGGGACATTCTGAGCACCTCCTTCCTGAGTAACAGACACACTGAATTCTCTGTTCCACATTCAGAACTAATTTGGTGCAACTGTTTCGGTATCCATGCCAAGCCTTGTGGAGTCAAACTCATACATGAGTTCCAAAAAGCAACTCCAGAAGACTTTACCCAGAAGAGCTCCACCACTGCCTGGTCTCCCAACCAAAGCCTGAGGGGAGCCAAGGCAGCCCTGCCCTGTGTGCATGGTTAGGATATGCTGAACTCCATATTACCATTGGCTGCCAGCTTCTGGAAAGCAGAGAAAACGCTGAGAGAGGAAAACGCTAAGAAAGTGTTCTGCACATGCTCTGAAAGTTTTGGAAAACAATGTGTTTTTCCTGGCAGCTTAGCTACAGGGACCTGCAGACAGTAACAGTTCTTATGTACAGAACCACCTACTTAGTGAAACTCTAGCGTCAGAGACCTGACTCCAACTTCTCAAATTCATGTAATATCCTAGCAGCACACAGAAACTGACAGACTGCACAGTCTACCGTGAAGCAGAACAATGCTGGCATATCTTCTCATGAAGCCAGAGCCTCTCCCCTTTACCCTGAGACAGGACACTCAAGTTCTATAATCAGGCGCCACTGGGCAAGTTTGAAGTCCAGGTCTCTGGGAAGTGCAGAAGTATTCTGTAAGTATAGTTTGCAGCTGTGCTTTTGGGGGAACACAATAATTTCCATCTGTGCCTAGCATTTACAGGCAATTCTACTAGTTCTGGGCTTAGTCCTATTTCTTAGGCTCTGAGATGTGTGATAGCTGTGTGTGTGGGGGGGGGGTACACATGTGCACACACATCACAGACGGAGACAGAGACTGCCAAGATGCAGTGCCACATGTTAGAGGATGCAGAGCCCAGCGCCTCTCCAAACTTTGTTTTAAATAATCTTAGCTTCTCCTGGCTGTGAGATTTCAGGAAGGGACTTAACCTTTCTGAGCCCATTTCTTCATCAGTGAAATCAGAATAATAAGTTCAGCCCATGTACTGCAGGTGGGTTGAGGACTAATTAAAAGGTACTTACTAAACTGTTGGCATACAGTTGGCACTAGAAAATACAGCTAGTATTATTTTTTCTGAAAATCTGTTTAAGATACTGTAAGTTGCCCAGAACTCAGAGCAGGTGCTCAGTATATGGCCAGACTTCAGGAAAGCTATGACGATGAAAGTATTTAGTGCCCTGGCTTGGAAGGAAATTTCCCATAGAAGAAGGCATCTTAAAGCTATAGATCTTGTTCTTCAGGAAGAGTCTTGGTGGGGTAAGAGAAAAAAAATATTGTCAAGGTCCACAGTACAACACACTTGAAACCCTGAAACATGGCAGTGTGTTCGTTTGTATTATGACAATTAAAACACTTGGCAGTTCAGGGGGACCTCAAAGAGTAAGTGAGTCTTATACCTGATTGGGGCAATGAGGCGTCTGGGGCATGAAGACCAGGCTTTGGGAGAAACAGCTGGGTCTCTCACTCTAACTTACATCTAAGGGAGGCAGCCCAAGCTTGGGGTGGCCCAGACCTAAGGACATTCTGACCCCAGGTTATGTTGGGGATGGACCAACATAAACTGGGATCAGAATGTCCTTAAGAGAGTTAGCTGCCATGTCCTAATCTCATTCCCTATGAAACGTGGTGGGAACAGAGATTAGGATGGGATCTCTCTGCCTTCTCCCCACCCATGTCCATCCTCAACTCTTTCCCCCAGGGATGAGGCTTCCTGTGCCCTCTTCCCACACCCTAGGGCATGGGGCGAGCTCAATGCTTAGCCTCTCAGAGCTCCTCAGTTTCCTCTGTCTGCACAATGTGTACTCCAATGCTCGATGTGAGACTAGAGGAGGTGATGAGCAGGTGGCACAACATGCAGTGCCTAGGGCAAAGCAGAGCTCCAGAGGGCTGGTTCCCACTCCTCTGTCATACTGGGTGGCACAGGGGCTGGCCAAAGCCACTGATTTGTTTCCTCCTCTCTCCAGTCTATAACTCTTGTCTTCTATCACCTGAATTTGGGGAGGCTATAACTTCACCAAGGTTACACACCCAGGACCAGTCCTAAAATAAGCTACCCAAGAAAAGTTCCCTGAGTAGCACTGTCTTGAGTGTTTCATTTAGAAGGTACTTGGAAAAGGAACCCCCTTTTTTTCTTCCTCGAAGCAAGCATGAGGAAATGGAACTGGGAAAACACTGATCCAAGATGACCTGGAGGGACAGAAACATCAGGACCCTGTAGGAGCATCTCTCTGATGGCCTGATGAGTTTCTCTTTTCTAATCCAGCACCTCCTAGATTTGTAAAGGAAGCCATCGTCTGAAGAGCTGAACATTGAATGTCACAGCAGAGGTATAGGACCCACCACCTAACACACTCCTGGCTCTTTCCATGGCACTTCTGTCTCATTTTGAATAACTGCCTCAAAACTGAAATCCTGAAAAACCTGACCACACTGTAAATACTATGGCCTGGTAGGTTACAAAACAAGTTCACAACAGAGACAACCTGGTGCCGCCATTGGAGGTCTGGCTGCTAATCAAGAGCAAGCAGAGGTGTGCACAGGGGAGGAAAGAGTGTGAATACACTCATGAGTTGCAATACAAGAAGGTATACGGGAGCCTGGTGAAATTCTGAAAACCACTGAGACAACTGTAAACTGTCATCTGTTTCCTGGAGTGCTGTCCTAAGTCTTCTCCATCAGAGCAATGGAGTTTGGAAATGTCAAGCTCCTTGCAAGAGAGCCAATGTGAGAGACAAAGAAGCAAGTGCCATGATCTTAATGCAAGATGTCACAGGGACCCATGGAATCTCCTGCTTCCTCAGAGCTTGCTTAGTTCACAGTCTGAATGAGGTTCAAAGCTGCAACCCAGCTGCACAAATGTGAAGTAGCCAAGAAATTGGCACGTGGCTTTGTCCTGCTGGTCACTATCAAACACAGCAGGAATGATGACAAGTACTGCTTTCATAAATCCCATACCTAAGGAATTATGCTATCTTATTAAAAAGAAAAAAAAAATAAAGGAACAACAAAAAATAAAATTAAAGACCGAAAAGCAGAGACAGAGCTGAACTCAGAAGTCAGGATGGATGAGGACCGAGACCATAAACCATCCTGCTTAGAAAATACTGCAGAATTCAGAAAAGCTAAGAATCCCCAATAATCTCTTGAAAATCCAAAACAAACAGGTAATTAGGTGAAGACCACCTTTCAAATCCCCCTCGCCCTCCAGGCTTCTTCTCACTGCCACACTCACACACAAGGGACACTCCATGGTTGGCACAGGTGACACTGCATTATGCCAAGACAGGCCCTCAAAATTGCTTGGAGGCTCTTCTTAAACCAAACATGCTAAGAGGCAAGGAGAATGGGGGTATTCCAAGGAGGATCCACATTTGGGTTTATCTGTTTATAATCAGATAATAGGGGTACACAGGCCCTCCCCAAGAGATGTATTTTCTGTACAATGAAAAATTCCATTTCCTATTTCTTAACTTTGTTTGCAAACCTACATGCCTCTTCTCTCTTCCACCATGTCCAATAAAATCCACTGTGTTCTCTTCTATCTTCAGTCACGTAGGTCTCCTGTTTTTGTGTTTAACATTTATAAAATGTGTTCTTCTGAGTCTGAAATCTTTATCAGTTGAAATCATTCCTGATTTCCCATCTAGGACCTTCTAGATCTTTCTTCTTTCTCTGCCACTTTCCTTGTTTGTCAATGTTCCGTTCTGAAATTCCACAGGGATGGCAGTTAGATGAGGACTTCCATCATCTCTCCGTCAGGGAACTCGGGCTTGTGCAGCAAGCTGCTGACCCGGCCTCTGTGGTCAGGCAACTTCCCGTGGCCAGGAGAGTTCTCTGCCAAATAGAGGGGAAACATCAACTGCCCATTCCACAGGAGGGGCACAGGCTTTCCTAGCTCTCTAAAATGGACCCACGTCCAATACGTTTGGACACCCAGGATTCTCACCACAGTGTGTGTGAGAGGATCCAGCCCACAGCGGGAACATGCAGAATGACTGGGCCAGGATTCAGACACAAATACAAACAAGGATGGTTATGGGAGAGGTTTCAGAGGGTGAAGATGAGATGACAGTGGCACTCTGTGCAGGAGCCCCTCACACCCTCTACTCAAAACTGTCAGGTGCATACTCTGAGCCAGGCACTTTTTACATGTTCTCTGGGATACTCAGAAAAGAATTACATCTTTAAAAAGTGGCGACACTGTATTTAATTGTCTACTTTGAAAGGTGAAAATAAACAACCCCTTGGAGGAAACAGGTAACTTAGGCCTCACATAGCCTGTACCTCCTCAAAAGAATTCCTGAAAAGGGAGGTCCCCATGACCATGATTAGTGCAAAACCAGGTCTATTCTTACCCAGGACACGTCAGGACTCACTGCAAGGCTCACCTCTCCCGAGCTGTCCTCCCTTAAATATTTTAAACAGCCAATTCATCCTGGCCCAAGGGCTGTGTCACGAGTTAACAGAATCTACAGCTCAATCGATTTTCTCCTTCCATTGGGATGCCCTCCACTGAGGCCAGAATCCCTGGCAAGTCAGCACCCCGAAGGCAACAGTGAACTTGTGCTTTTGATGTATCCGGTGCCTTATTCTGGCTCCCAAACATACCAGAGGGCGTTCAGTACCTATCATCCCTCAGACTCTGTTGTCACTTCTTCTGGGGAAGGGTTAGTTAAAAAGCATGCCTTGCCAGGGTAGTCTCGAGCTGTGCACTCATTTCAAATAGTAATAAACTAGATGTGTCTATATGTATTTTATTCCCATAATAAGAAAGGGCACATATAGCCTAAGTGCATTAGGGTAACCACACTCATAAACATCCCCACAGAGTAAGAGCTGATGGGTGCTCCTGCTCCCTCTCTAGCTCAACAAAAGACTCTTTTAGGCCAGACAGTTCTCCAGTTTTCAGGGGTATCAAGGTGGGATAGCCCACGTACCCAGTTTCTCTGCGGTCGCTTTGGCCGCTGGGTGTTTCAGGACGGGGCTGTGAGCAGGGGTCGTGCTCAGCCGGCCGCGGCTGGGAAGGGAAGCCATGTTGGGCCAGAAGAGCTCAGCACTCTTGTCGGTCTGTGTGCTGCTGTCCTTGCTGCCTGTCTTGGCGTGGGCACTGCTGGCTGCCGTGGTGGAGGCTGTGGGGGACAGTGCTGAGGTGGGCGGGGGTGGCGGCAGCGGGGCGGAGGCATGTTCATAGTGCTCCTTCCCCAGCAGTAATCCTGAGGGCAGAGAACAGATTTTTCAATGACGCTCTTTTTTTCTCTTGTTTTTCTTTTTTTGAAAAACAAAAACAAAAACTAGTCTTAGATATCTGTTCCTTGTTGACTTATGATTGCTTCATTCATTCACTGATTCTTTCACCAAGCATTTAATAAACACTTATTTTAAGGCTGATAAAATGACAAATACTGAGTGAATTAAAAATGAAAGACCTAGTTCCCTTCCTAAAAAAATTGTAGGTTTTTTTTTTTTGAGTGGAGAAGTAGGTGTCAAGTAAATGGATTATAATTTAATATATTAACTGTAGGATACAATTATTCGCAGGGTGGTATGGAAGAATAGAGAAGTGCCAATTGCCAGAGCAGGAGGGGTAGGGAGGTTCCTGCAAGGCTTTCTAGAGACCATGCTTGCTGGCCCAGCAGGCTGGCCTGAAGCATGGCTGTGTGCTTAAGGAAAACTACAAGGCTTCCCTGGTCCTAGACACATTCCCACTGGCTTGCTGCTTTTCTGAATAGTTCACAATTCCACCCCACTCCTAATTGATGGACGTTCTCCCACGGGCCTGGGTTCAAAGATAAACATGCTACCTGCATGTTTCTGCAGTGGAACTGTAGCCTCCAAGAAGCAGAAAGCCAGCCAGGCTCTTAGGAAAGGCTACTTAGCCCCTCTCCTTGCCCCCTTCCCCAAGAGTAGTGAGGCTGGGGTGGGGAAGAGGGCATGCTGGCTATGGAAAATGGAAGCGTGGTGTGCAGAGGTGTCTATTTTCCTCAGAGCTTTCCTGGAAAGCTGGGCAGGAGGATAACTTTTTATTTTTAAATACAGAACATATGCAAGAAAGTGCCAGCACCATAGAATGCCAGCCTACAGATACTGTGGTAAGCACAATCAAGTATTTGTTTTCTTATCTTGTAGATAGCCAGCAATTCATAAAGTATCTTTGCCAGGGCTGTTTTAAGTGCCCATTCATAACTTAGGGCAGTTCAGTTTGTCAGAGGCAGTGCTTTTCAAAATGCAATGTGCATACCAATGACTTAGCTATGTTGTTAAAAGGAAGACCTGGGCGGGGCGTGGTGGCTCAAGCCTGTAATCCCATCACTTTGGAAGGCCGAAGTGGGTGGATCACGAGGTCAAGAGATCGAGACCATCCTGGCCAACATGGTGAAACCCCGTCTCTACTAAAAATACAAAAAATTAGCTGGGCATGGTGGCGCATGCCTGTAATCCCAGCTACTCAGGAGGCTCAGGCAGGAAAATTGCCTGAACCCAGGAGGTGGAGGTTGTGGTGAGCCGAGATTGCCTCATTGCACTCCAGCCTGGGTAACAAGAGCAAAACTCCGTCTCAAAAAAAAGGAAGACCTGATCCAGCAGCCAAGGCCTGGGATTCTGGATTTCTAAGAAGCTCCCCAGTGGTGCTGGTGCCACTGGCCCACAGACAACAGTGAACAGCAAAAACCTTTGTCTGTGCTTCTCACATCATCTCACTTCATACTGCACGGCATTCCTGTGAGGCAGGCCTTATTGTCTGTCTTATAGAGAAGGAAATGGAAGCTCAGAAAAACTGGCATCTCACAGCTAAGAAGGAGCAGAAATGGGATTCAAACCCAGCTGTGTCTGACTTTGGAGTCCAACCTATGCTCTTTCCACTTCATCACCCAGCCTGTGGAGACATCAGAGTTTGCAGGATATCCTTGTAGGGGATGACAGGCTGAATAAGTCACTAGCCAACCATAGCTCCTGGGAGCCCGTGGACAATCAGGAAGATATCCATTGTCACCTCCACCTCCTTCCAGAGCCCATCGGGTAAGCAATGGTGACAACATGGAGAGAACTCTGCAGTCAGTCACTCATGAACCTGCCTCATCCCCTCAGCAAGTCTCTCCCTGTGTTTGTGACATGTGGACACCAATGACAACAATGAGGAGGAATATCAGTGTGGGGAACATAGCAGCTCTTCCTTTAGACAAGTCCGCTGGCTCCTAGGCCTGGGTTAGACATGCCAGGTCCTTGGGGACACAGGCATAGACACCAGAGATGCCTGCCTGGCTGCATGTCACAAATAGGTGGCTCCCAGGGAGGTTTCTATCACAGCTGAGCAAATTTCAAACTCCTTAACCAGGCCTGTCTCCCAGCTCTCTCACTGGGCTGGAAGCTAAATGTCCTTGGGACAGTCTTTGATGATCTCAGCTGCTGTCCACACACATCATTTTTGAAGTGCATTTCCTTTGAGGGCAGGTGCTGTTGAAGCCACCAGTGGAGGGACTTCAAACAGAGATTCTGGCTGGGAGCCTTTGATCCCCCCAACTCTGTGGGGTTCATATGGAGGCTTTTATCCCCTCTGGCCCAGAGCAGCCAGTCTCCTATGGGGTCTTATGCTGAGGACAATCGGCTCTCAGCTCCACAGAGAAACACAAATACAAGCTGACCCAGGGAAATGCATCAAAGAAGGGCCAGACCCCTGGAGAGGCCAGAGTGCAGGGGAAGGGTGGGGAGGACCTGTGCGTGGGCATGCTGCCTGCTTCCCCTCCAGCTCTGCTAGCCCAGCCAGGCAACGAGCACACCTGCCCCCAGAAAACCTACTCCTGGCTAAAACTACACTTAGGGAATGATCCTCAAAATTCCACCCATGCAATAACAATACAGCAAAAACTTACCACCCCCCCACCCCTACTGCCTTATGCAAGAGAGCACTTCTTCCAGTGTGCTCTCCCCATTATCCCAGTCTTCCCTGCCATGCTCCATGGGGTAAAGCAGGTAGACACTGTCCTCCCTTTCTAGACATGGAAGCAGAGGTGGAGCCATCATACATCTGGTCTAGAGCAGAGCCAAGTTCAGAGGTGTGATGTCCCTAGGCTTTTCCATGAGAGCCTTTTGTGTTATAAGGGTCACCTCAACTTACAACAATAATAGATAATTATGATCTGAGTCAACCCATGGCTAAGAGCTACTCCAGTGGTGCACTCTTTAGAATTTACACAATGCTTCCACATATCTCAGTGAATTTCTATAGCTGAAGTATGACTGATTTCCCTCCCCACTTCACAAATAAGTAAACTGAGACCAGGAACTATTCAGGGACATTTCTGTGTCCCATGAGTGGCAGGGAAGCTGTCCGCTCTTGCTTTTCCAATTCTCATCTAACAGAGGTGTGGTGACTCACCTATGCTCCCCTTCCAGGTCTTCTCTTCCTTCTTCTCCTCAGCCAGCTGGCTGCTGGTAAGAGAGGTCTGGCGAGAGTGTGTCCCAGTAGCCGCGGCTATGGATGGAACGGAGCGGGCAGGACGTAGGCTGGAGGAGTCTGTCTTCCCAGCATCTTTACGAGATCGCTGCTGCAAGACCTTAATCATAGCATCCTTCTCTATGATTTTGGCATGGAGATTTTTAATACTGTAAAACAAAACAAAACAGTCTTAATAAAAAGCCACTTGGTTGGAAAAACTTGAAACACTTCTCTAAGACTGTCCCAAGGACTTTAAGTGTAATTTAGGGATAAGAGGATGAAGTGCAGTACGAGTCTTCAAACGATGATCATCTCCAAATAATGTAAAGACAGATCTTTTGTAATAGATCAAAAGGGTACGCTTCTCTGGCACCTTGGGAAACTAGGACTTCGGGAGGTACAGTTAGAATGACTGTGGTCATGTTCCTGGACCAGTAGGCTGGGGACCATATGTAGAAGATTTAGCACTGGGGCGGGGGGGGGGGGTGCAGGGTGTCGGGGGTAGGGTGGGAGATAGAGAAGCATAAAAATTCTAAAGCCTCAAACAGTGTGAGTTTTCAACTAAAGTCAATTGCCCTATTTTCTAAGAAAAAAGAACCAAGATGGACAGGTTCTCTGGTAGAAGATAATTTTTCTGGAAGAACGCTGAAAAGTTTCTTTTCACAACTTTGATAGTAACTCACTGAGCCTATCTATCAGTGGCTCAACTACTGAGCCCTGTTTTCACATCTGCAAAATAACAGGCCTAGGGCTCCCAGGGCTTCACAAGCCCTCAGGTAGTGAAGGGGGTCAGGCTAGTCTTAGTATGTCAAAAAGTCTGCTGTAAATTTTGCGTAGCCCATCAGAAGAGTGCATTAGCAAAATATGTTCTTTATTTCAGGTTGGAATGTATAAATTCTGGGTCAAAAACTCTGAACCTTTGGAATATAATGTTTCCCCTTTTCCTCACAATGTCATAGAGATAGACACCAAGAAATAATACAGATATCTAAATTCTTCTGTCATTAGACTCAGCCTCCATCTTAAAACCTGCAGGTGGCATGCAATTTCCCTCAGAGACCTCCAGCACCAGACCCATTGGTGCAATTGGGGAGGAGAGTTTTTGGAGACCTCATGCTCATAGCCTTTCAGAACAAGACAGAGAAGCAATCCTTTCTGGAAGTCCTGTAGTGTAAGTGCAAACATGGGCTGGCAGGCCCCACGCACCACACATGTCCATCCCTTACGTGTATTCCATGTCCTGACACCTTCTGTTGGCCTGCACCACCTCCTCCTCCTCCTGCCAGATGTGGGCCTCCAGCGAGCTCTCTCCGTAGCTGCCATTCCGTGAGTGGTTGATAATCGTAGTGTCCCTGACAACACAAGGACATGCGTTTGATCACAGGAAACCTTCTTGCTTTGTCTCAATGCAGACACAGAATGGAGACACTGGTATTCATATTGGAACAGAGATCAGCTCTGCATCTCCACCTGCTCATGAAGGCCTTCCTTCCCCATTTCCTCAGCTCAGTTATCAATTTCATCTGATGCCCATACAGAGAGAGGTATAAATGCTTGTGGAGAGGTGACCACAGGGCGCCCTGCTAAAACTCTCTCCACAAACTCCCCCCACTTTGCCTCTCCTGAATTCTGTCCAATTCCCTTCTTAAACTAGATAGAATTAAGCAGCATCTAAGGAAAAGAATCAAGTCCCCTCTACCTTCTACTTACTACATTGTATATTTAGCTGCATGGCATGTTATGAATATGTAAATTGGGCACATAGAGATTTAATCGACTGACATATGGACACTATTATTATTATTATAATGTTTGTAGGTATTTCTATGTTTGTACTTTTTCATGCTTGTCCTGTATCTCATTTTTCCAATCAGATTTTAGGTTTTATGTCTGTTTATCACCCATATAGCACACAGTACCTAATTCAGTATTTTACAGTAAAATGGGAGCTCGGTAGATATTTAAAACTGAGACTGGTCCTCTCAGAGAGTGAGGCTGCAAGCTGAAGTCTTCCTTCATGTTTGTATTCTGTCTCACTTCTTGCTTTATGGGCCCTGCCTGGGATACAGGACAATGTATGCTGGGTCCCAGGCAGAAAGACGAAGACAGACACTGTCCTTGACAAGTTCAGGTGAGGGCGGTACAGTGAGGGCAAGGGAAGACATGGGTAGATTAAGAAGCAGTTTCACTGCAAGCATCTGTCTGACTATAAACAAACAGTCACTGATAACTATTCCAGCCACTGGTTTTGACAGTTTAATTACTCCTAACTAACAATGATTAGTAAAAATAAGATCATTGCATCATCTACGTGATATACCTCAAGATGAAAGGCACAATAATGGCTCTGATTACATGAGTACTTAATTAGTAAGACATGATGTAGCCAAGTGTTTTACATATTTTTCACTTCATATGCCAATGTACAATCATACTGAAAACTTTTTTTTTTTTTTGAGATGGAGTTTCATTCTTGTTGCCCAGACTGGAGTGCAGTGGCATGATCTTGGCTCACTGCAACCTCTGCTTCCTGAGTTCAAGCAATTCTCCTGTCTCAGCCTTCCAAGTAGCTGGGATTACAGGCATGCACCATCATACCTGGTTAATTTTGTATTTTTAGTTGAAATGGGGTTTCACCATGTTGGTCAGGCTGGTCTTGAACTACTGATCTCAGGTGATCCACCCGCCTCAGCCTCCCTAAGTACTAGGATTACAGATGTAAGCCACCATCCCTGGCCTGAAACCTTTTAAGCTTTTTTTTTTTTTTTTTTTTGTTAACAGAAGAGCCCAAAACAGCAAAAAAGAGGCCCTTTTAATGAGAGCTATCAACATTAAAGAGCATTTACTTCATGCAGGGACTGAGCAGAGCATGGTAAACATGGTCTCTCATTTCGTTCTCACAACTTGTGCAAGAAGGATTATTATCCTCAATTTCTAGATGAAGAAATCAGGGTTAGGCGACTTTTCCAAGAACACTCAGTTAGTGAATGGTGAAAATGGATTCTAACCCAGATATTTATGACTCCAAAGTCCACGCCCTTAACCATGACTATACTCTTGCAAGTTTCCTATGTCTTTACGAAGAAGGTCTCAGCAAAGATGCATAAAGATAAAAACAAACCAAAGGGCATGTGTGAGAATGTGGCTCAGAAAAATGCAAAGTGTCACTGAAAATATACTAAAGGCCAAACGATGTAGAAAGCAAACAGAATGCTTAAAACATATTTGTAAAATTATAAATTCCCACTATGGTGCACAAAATCATCAATATAGAAATTAGTGGTTAGAAACATTTTCAACAAATTTATTTTTGGAGACTTTACATGAAGCTGGAAACAAATTCAAAAACTCATGTTTAAACCGCCAAGTGAGGATAGCAAACACAATTAGAGAAAAGCAACTTAGACAGTAAATACAGAAAACTCTGAAAGAAATATTACATTGCTTTGAAATTTGTAAAAACTTTCAAAACCTTCCCCACACATAAAAAATAAGCTGACTTTCTAAAAGTTCTGACCAACAGCATCAAGATGCATAAAGATGGGAAAACCAGTTGGTGTACAGAAGTTATTTTCTTTGTTTAAAAATCATTGCTTATCAATATAAAGCATGCATCTGTGGCTGAAATGTCACAAAACTAATGGCTAGAAATAGTCATTTTTACCAATTCATCTGTGGCCACTTAGCACCTAGCAGTAAGGGCTCAGAATGTGTACCTTTCTCAAAAATGCTTCATTTTCCTTTTTTCTCTTATTGAAAAAAAAAAAGCAATGCTGAAATGACAGAGGTTTTCTTTGAAAAGAACATTAAGATTGGAGCTAACTATGTGAGGTTCTCTAAACCTATGTCTCCCACCCAAAAGGGGTAGTCTGTAATGGAGGGTAGTTGATCACAGAATTATTAGGTGCTCAAGAAAATGTGTAAAAGCAAAGTAGACAGGGTGGCAAGGCACTCCCACTACCCATCCAACACTCCAAACAGGGCAGAGAAGGGGAAGAGTGGGACTGGATAAATCCCACAGAACTCCTGTTCTCTGGGGTAAGAGCCAGTTCCCTTTGCACAAAGGATAAGGACAAGGCTGGGGCTAGAATCCTGTGGGTGGGTGACTGTGATTGGGTTCTGTGGCTCTACTCGCTCCCCATCCTCCCTTCTGTGCCCACTACAGGGTATATGCTTTGGACTCGTTCATTCCCCCACTTCTGAATCTTACTTTACAGGCCCATTCACACCATCAGGGCCCAGGATCACAGACAGACATCTAATCTAATTAACCCACAGAAGCTGAAACAACAATGACGCATGGAAGCTCCTGTGTCATTCCTCCAAGGTCACACATTTACACTGCTACTGGGGCTTTAGTGTTCTCAGCCAGAGCAATGTGGTCAGGTTCCCTGCTTCCATCACTTATATTTCACATGTGATGTAAGTGACACTCAGAAGGGCTTGTCCCAGATCACACACGCACAGTCAGGAAGGGAGGGAGAAGCCCTGAGGGCAGGTGTCCTGCCTCCCTGTGCAGCATTCTTTCCATTAAAATCACAGGGAGGGGCCAGGCCTGGTGGCTCACACCTGTAATCTCAGCACTTTGGGAGGCCAAGGTGGGTGGATCACGAGGTCAGGAGATCGAGATCATCCTGGCCAACATGGTGAAACCCCATCTCTAATAAAAATACAAAAATTAGCTGGGCATGGTGGTGGATGCCTGTAATCCCACCTACTTGGGAGGCTGAGACAGGACAATAACTTGAACCAGGGAGTCGGAGGTTGCAGTCAGCTGAGATTGCACCACTGCACTCCAGCCTGGTGACAGAGAGAGACTCCATCTCAAAAAAAAAAAAAAAAAAAAAAAAAGAAATCACAGGGAGGAAACTCCCAGGGCAACCTTGGAGAGCAGTGCACTAGACCACATACGTCCAAGAGGGCCAGGTCCCTCTGTGACTTGATGATGATCTGCTCTCTTCCTCAAAATAGAGACGTAATTTAGTTATTAGCTTAGAAAACAAAAAGCTGAATAAAAACCATTTTAACTTATGGAAAAATCAACCAATGTTTCAAAAGCCTTCTCTGTTCCCATCCATATACTGCAGGGATGGAACTGGAGGCTGCAACTTCCCTCCAACTCTCAACCCAGGACACCGGCGCTTCACTGCACCATCTCAAGTGTCCATCCCCACTCCCAAAGTCTCACTCTCATGGACACTGTGGGTTGTTTCCCGTCAAAGTATAGAGACACATAACAACGTGGAAGCACAGAAAAATGATTCCCAAATGGTCACTTTCCACATGGGTCTGTAGGTCTTTCTTGGTGCAAGTGTGCTGTGGCGCCCACTGCAGACACCAAGACCTGAATGGTGGCACTGCTTTCTCCAATTCCTGGAGCTAACATCTGTGCATACTATTGGGGATTCTCCCGCACTTCTGTAAGGAACCTGAGGGTCCATGAATAACTTAAAGAATAGCCCGTGTCTATCCCAACAGGCCTCCCCATATGTAGTCATTAAAAATACAGTAACCCAGTGGAGGACTCAAGATGGCGCTGTGAGAACAACCCAGGATTGGAGCTCTCGTTGAATCCGCAAACAGGTGAGTCGGAGCTGCATTTCCAGACTGATCTTTGTTGCCCACAGAACGGGGAAACTCCCAAGTATAAAAAAGACACGGGACGCCAGGGAGTAGGTCTGCCTGGCGAAGCCGGCAGCCGGGGCAGCGGCGGCCTGCCCTACCCAGCAATCCCCACAGGGTGCGCTTGTCCGGGTGCCCTGTTGAACCGGCAACCTGAGACTTGAGAGGGCTGGACTTGAGACTGAACGAGACTTGGACAGTAGGCCAGCCCAGGGGATTGCAGGGACAGATCGTTTGGGATACCCAGTGGGACAAACAAAACCGCGATTTCAAACTATCCCGAGCAGACGGTCCGAGACGCTCTGTGGGGGAGGGGCATCCACCACTACTGAGGCAACCCGCCCCAACTGAGATACACGCCCACTGCTGACGCAGCCAGCCGTTGCCGAGGCAACCCGTCCCTACTGAGATACACACCCACTGCTGACGCAGCCTTCTGTTGCCGAGGCAACCCGTCCCTACTGAGATACAGCCCACTGCTGATGCAGCCTGCCGTTGCTGAGGCAACACGCTACAACGAAGAGACTCTGTCGCAGGGCGTGGCGGAGACCACAGCAGAGCCTGCAGGAACAGGGCGAATCACACAACAGCAGGGCGGAGCCTCGGCAGTCAAACAGTGGCTAGTCTGCCTTCTAGCTGGGCAGGACACCACAACGGACATCGAAAAATAAAGCCAGAACCCCCCAACACAGAGCATTTGAGATAAAAAGGGTTTTTTAAATGAGCTCTG